CAGCGTTTGCGGTTGGCGGCGGGCGGGCGCGCGATGCGGGCGGTTTTCATTTGTTGCGGCGTTTGCGTTTGGTGGCGGGCGAGCGCGCGATGCGGGCGGTTTTATTTTTTTGCGGCGTTTGCGGTTGGCGGCGGGCGGGCGCGGGATGCGGGCGGTTTTCATTTTTGCGGCGTTTGCGTTTGGTGGTGGGCGGGCGCGCGATGCGGGCGGTTTTCATTTGTTGCGGCGTTTGCGTTTGGTGGCGGGCGAGCGCGCGATGCGGGCGGTTTTAGTTTTTTTGTGGCGTTTGCGGTTGGCGGCGGGCGGGCGCGGGATGCGGGCGGTTTTCATTTTTGCGGCGTTTGCGTTTGGTGGCGGGCGGGCGCGCGATGCGGGCGGTTTTCATTTGTTGCGGCGTTTGCGTTTGGTGGCGGGCGGGCGCGCGATGCGGGCGGTTTTAATTTTTTTGCGGCGTTTGCGGTTGGCGGCGGGCGGGCGCGGGATGCGGGCGGTTTTCATTTTTTGCGGCGTTTGCGTTTGGTGGCGGGCGGGCGCGCGATGCGGGCGGTTTTCATTTGTTGCGGCGTTTGCGTTTGGTGGCGGGCGGGCGCGCGATGCGGGCGGTTTTAATTTTTTTTGCGGCGTTTGCGGTTGGCGGCGGGCGGGCGCGGGATGCGGGCGGTTTTCATTTTTTGCGGCGTTTGCGCTGTTGTTCGCGGTTGGAGGCGGTCGTTTTTTATTTTTGTTTGTGCGGTGTTTGCGTTTGTCGGCATGCGGGCGTTTTTAGGCGTTTGCGGTTGGCAGTTAGGGTGCGTGCGATGCGGGCGTCTTTTTTGCGTTTTTTTTGTGTTTTTGTTTTGCGGTTTGCGGCGGTTGAGCGTTTTTTTTTTCAATTTGCTTTCGCATTTGCTCACCACGCAGCAAAGCAAGTGGCGCAGCCGCTTGTCTATCTTACTATTTGAACAGGATCCATCTGTCTGTTTGTCTGTCCGCCACGCCGTGTAGTGGGTTCAATTTAGCCGGCCTACAGGGCAGACGGTATTTCGTAGGGGGTTGAAATTTGCACACCTTATAGGTGACGTCACGGGTCAGCGCCTTTTCTAGGTTCCGACTCGCTGGGGTGCACGGTTCGCGCGTGGGGCGCGCCGGAAGAACGCCAATGAAATTTTGATCGGTTCGTAGATCTTCATTGAGAGCCGGGGTCGAAGAACTTTGTGGACTAAATGCATGCCGATCGGTGGCGGGTGCCTCGCATTGAAGGATGGGCAGGTTTTAATTTGAATGAAAAGTGGCGAAAAATGTGTTAATTTTCGTTCGATGGAAACAGTTTGTGATACGAGTTTACAAATGCACCGCGTTTGCCGCAATGCGTCACATTGGTCACAAGGCGCCATTTTTGCCGCAGCTCGCACAGTTTCGTCAAATATGGTCCGATAAGGGTACAATTTGGTGCAAAGATACATGCTCAATCGCCGGGTGAAAATGCGCCGAGTTTGTCGCAATGCGCCACATATGCCACAAAACGCCATTTCAGACAAAATCGAGTAAGGGTAATGGAATGGCACGAATAGGGGCAGGGCTGGGAACACTTTAAGTCTGATATTTTAGTACTGATTGGATCCAATTATTCTGTAAACTGACATGACCCAGCGGTGTTGGTATGGGTAGGGGTAGGGGTAGGGGTAGGGGTAGGGGTAGGGGTAGTAGTAGGGGTAGTGGTAGGGGTAGTGGTAGGGGTAGTGGTAGGGGTAGGAGTATGGGTAGTAGTAGTGGTAGGGGTAGGGGTAGGGTAGTGGTAGGGGTAGGAGTATGGGTAGTACATAGTAGTGGTAGGGGTAGGGGTAGATGTAGTGGTAGGGGAGGGGTAGTGGTAGGGGTAGGAGTATGGGTAGGGGTAGGGGTAGTGGTAGTGGTAGAAGTAGGGGTAGTGGTAGGGGTAGTGGTGGAGGCAAAAGTAGAACAGTGGCCCGGGCTGATCCCATCGGACGAGAGGTGACCTATGTGACCTGGCCTGACCCAAAGTGACCGGGGCTGACCCCTTTGACCCGTCTGGACCCCGTATCACCCAAATTTCATCCAACAACGCCCTCAGAACAGTTCTTTTTTTAATTCTCTTCGCATTTCCGTCCATATCTATGCTTCTAGACGACACATCGACTTGAATCGAACACCATTCGAATGCAAATTGGCTGGTGCCGCAATTTTTTCCTACCACGCAGCAAAGCAAGTGGCGCAGCCGCTTGTCTATCTTACTATTTCAACAGGATCCATCTGTCTGTTTGTCTGTCCGCCACGCCGTGTAGTGGGTTCAATTTAGCCGGCCTACAGGGCAGACGGTATATCGTAGGGGGTTGAAATTTGCACACCTTCTAGGTGACAGAGCGGGTCAGCGCCTTTTCTAGGTTTCGACTCGCTGAGGTGCACGGTTCGCGCGTGGGGCGCGCTGGAAGAGCGCCAATGAAATTTTGATCGGTTCTTATATCTTCATTGAGAGCCGGGGTCGACAAACTTTGTGGACGAAATGCATGCCGATCGGCGGCGAGTGCCTCGCATTGGCGGATGGGCAAGTTTTAATTTGAATAAATAGTGGCGAGAGATTGTGTAGATTTTCGTTGAATGGCAACAGTTTGTGATACGAGTTTACAAATGCACCGCGTTTGCCGCAATGCGCCACAATTATCTCAGGGCGTCATTTTTGCCGCAAATCGCACAGTTTTGTCAAATATAGTCCGATATGGGTGTAATTTGGTGTCAAGATGCATGCTCAAACAACAGGTACAGATGCGCCGCATTTGCCGCAATGCGCCACATTTGCCACAAAGCGCCATTTCCGACAAAATCGAGTAAGGGCAATGGAATGGCACGAATTATTCTGTGACCTGACATGACCCAGCGGTGTTGGTAGGGGTAGGGGTAGGGGTAGGGGTAGTGGTAGGGGTAGTGTAGTGGTAGGGGTAGGGGTAGGGGTAGTGGTAGGGGTAGTGGTATGGGTAGTAGTAGTGGTAGGGGTAGATGTAGTGGTAGGGGTAGGGGTAGTGGTAGGGGTAGTGGTAGGGGTAGTGGTAGGGGTAGTGGTAGGGGACAGGGGTAGGGGTAGGGGTAGAGGTAGTGGTAGGGTAGGGGTAGTGGTAGGGGTAGTGGTAGGGGTAGGGGTAGTGGTGGAGACAAAAGCAGAACAGTGGCCCGGGCTGATCCCAGCGGACGAGAGGTGACCTATGTGACCTGGCCTGACCCAAAGTGACCAGGGCTGACCCCTTTGACCCGTCTTGACCCCGTATCACCCAAATTTCATCCAACAACGCCCTCAGAACAGTTCTTTTTTAAATTCTCTTCACATTTCCGTCCATATCTATGCTTCTAGACGACACATCGACATGAATCAAACACCATTCGAAAGCAAATTGGCTGGTGCCGCAATTTTTCCTACCACGCAGCAAAGCAAGTGGCGCAGCCGCTTGTCTATATTACTATTTGAGGAGGGTGCGTCTGTCCGTTACCGAGGTCCCGACTTGGTCGTGCTTTGCGTGAACTACAGGCCAGACCGTTGCACCTAGCGCGGTGAAACTTGCACAACTTATAGATCAAGGATGCGCGACGTGCCTTTGAGGGGTCTCAGCTCGATCGGATTGATGGGGAGCGCGAGGCGCGTGGCCAAAAAGTGCAAATTCGCGTCATAGACTTTACATGTATAAATCGGCGTGCGAAATCGGGCGAAAACGGCTAAATTTGCCCGACACGGGTCCCATCTCCGTGCAATATCTCGGTAACCGTGGGCCCGATCGGCACGGCGAAAACAGCATCGTGTAGATAATTGAACGGGCTATCGAATGGTGTGCGGTGCAGGAGATGGCACGCGCCACGTGCACCCATGAGGATACTTTTATTGGAAAAATTGCGGTTTTTGACGTATTTTGGAATTGATTTTATTTTTAGGTGACCGTTAAATGGAGCGAGTTGAAACAACGCCTATTTGCAAGAGAAATGTACCGCCTCTCATATAAAAATTGTGAATAGCTAATTGATCGACGGCAAGGTGGTACAAATCGCTAGAGAAAATGGTGTTTGTCAATTTTGTGCCACTTTATTAATCACACGGGGTTTGCTGCATAACCTGATACCTTTGGCAATTGAATATGGTACCATTGGATAGAGCATTCAATTCTGTCCAATATTCACTCTTCATTTTTGCATGATTAGCAACAGTATCCTTAAAAATGTAAATGTTCCAAACCATCACATTGTCATTTTTAGCGAAATTCATCGATGGCCCTCAAAAGACTTCACGCCAGTTTTCGAATCATTCTAAAGTAGAACGCATGATAATACGACACGGGCACCTCGATGCGATGTATCTTTTTGTTTTCTTACAAAATGCTTGGCCGTCAAAAAGCAATCGAACGAAATGGATATCTACCAACCAAACCGACACAGACCAACCCAATACCCACGGGTCAAAAAATCCCCCCTTCGCGTTGCGGAGCACGCGGGTAACCCTAGTGTACACTACATGTAAACATATTCTCCCATGCTCACGATGTCGATGAATGCTTCATTTTAATTTAATCATAAATTGCATTGTAAGTGTTTGCATAACTAATATTACTTGCATATGATGATATCGTGTTTTTGTGCAATGTGCTATGTGCATGCTTGCTACTCAGTGTGCGAAGTCACAATGCATATATTTTTTTCTACGTGCATGCAATGCCACTATCATTTTTTAGTTTGCTTTAATTTTCATGCATTCCCAATTAATCATGATTATTCATCCGTTGATCTTCTTTACGGTGACACTGTCCCTCAAATATTTTGCTCATTTTTTTCTGGCAAATAAACTTCAAAGTAGTTTGAAGTAGATACCCTAAATTTCTAGCATCATTACTTTGTTGCACAAAGGGGCCATGACGTAGCTAAACATGTAGTGTCATATACAATCACCATACTCTTATGCTATATTTTAAATAATTTCCTCTTAAGTATAAATGGGATATGTGCCTTTATAATATTTGTATAATTGCCAGGAATGGGACGACTACAACCTCCAATGGGACCCGGAGGAATTTGGAGGAGTCAACAATCTGCACATCCATCCCAAATATTTGTGGAAGCCGGACGTCCTCATGTACAACAGGTAATGCCACTGATTTGTCGATCAGCTGGGTCCTATTGACCATGTCCTTTGCATCCTGGCTTAGAGCACTTGTTCACGTTCATGCTGCATTTGAAATAATGTGACCTAGAAATCAGGCCAGCTACATGGGTGGGCCTTTCCGCGAAGTAGTGGTCAAGTACTACACAAAAGTAAGCGTCGATCACCTGACGTGTCTGGAAGCCATTCGTTTTGTGTGTTTTTATTGCTTGTTATATTGCAGTTTGCATCATCCGCTTGAGGTCCTCCTGAATCATTCGTTTAACTATAAATTCGGGTGAACGTTGATATTGTATGCACTGTCGCTGAGACCCACCGCCTGTTTCCAGTGCCGATGACAAATTCGACGGCACGTACCCCACAAACGTGGTGGTGCAGCACAACGGCAGCTGTCTGTACGTGCCGCCGGGCATCTTCAAGTCCACCTGTAAGATCGACATCACCTGGTTCCCGTTCGACGAGCAGAAGTGTACCATGAAGTTCGGCTCGTGGACCTACGATGGGTGGCAGGTGAGCAGACAGCTGCACAACGGTGCACGAGCAGGGCCAGAGGGTAGGCAACTGTTGTTCGACATTGAGCATGCACTTGCAAAATATACGTATTAGGCTACACGGTGGGCACAATTTCCCACATAGCACTGCATTACATGATCCAGATGGTCTCATTTCATCATCAGTGCCTTCCTGACCATCTTTTTCGCTACACTTTTCTGCTACTTCTTGGGCCGAAGTCGTTGGCCCACTTGGCACTACTCAGAATCAATCATTGAATTTAGATCTGCATTGACTGCTTTAAACGCTTCTTGTATCATTGGCTGAATAATGAAAGAACTAAGGACGGCATGAATAGGTAATACAAGATAAGGTAAATGGCGGAAAGATGAAAGCTAGAAATGGCATCAGAAAAAAAGAAATAGGATGTCAAGGACATGAGAACGAGAGGAAAAAGAAGAAGAAGTAAAGCAGATAAGAGCGTTAGAAGAAGGAGGAGAGGACACAGAGAGAGAGAGAGAGAGAGAGAGAGAGAGAGAGAGAGAGAGATAGAGAGAGAGAAGAGAGAGAGAGAGATAGAGAGAAGAGAGAGAGAGAGAGAGAGAGAGATGGAGGGAGAGAGGGAGAGAGAGGAGAGAGAGAGAGAGATATAAACAAAGTAGAGGAGAGAGGGATGAGAAAGAAGAAAGAAGAGGGTCTTGGAGGAACGAGAGAATAAGAGTAGATGAACGAAGGAGAGTGGGTGAGGGAAGACGAGCGGCCGGTGTCG